GTGGTATGGTCCACCAGCACCACAGCAACAGCAGAAATATGTGTACCAGCAGCAGTCTGCACACCCTTCATACCACCAGCCACAACATCACCCTGTGCAGCAGCAACAACCAAAGTATCTGCCTCCTCCTATGAGACAACAATAGCAGCCTGCATAGCAAAATCAGACTCAACAACAACCTCCTCCACAGACCTTCTTTGGAGGAGTTGATGAGTCAAATTGCCACTCAAAGTCTGCAGTTTCAGCAGAACGTTTCACCCACCATTCAGGACTTACAGACCCAAATTGGGCAGCTGGCAACTTCAGTGAATAAATTACAATAGCAAGGGTCTGCAGCACTTCCTTCGCAGCCTGTAGTTAATCCGAAAGGTAATGTAAGTGCTATTACTTTAAGAAGTGGCAAGGAACTGACCAATTGTCCAGTGCAGGCTAGTAAAAGTAGTGGAAGTGAAGAGGGAGTCCGAGATAATTTACCACATCACCAGATTCCACTTCCTTTCCCAACTAGAGTTCCTCCACCAAAGAAAATAGAAATGGACCAAGAGTTGCTGGATACCTTCAAGAAGGTGGAGATTAATATTCCTCTGCTGGATGCCATTAAACAGATTCCTCGATATGCAAAATTCTTGAAGGAGCTCTGTACTTATAAGAGGAACTTAAAGAAGAGGAATGTCCAGCTAGTTTCATCCTTGTCCCAGTCTAGCCTTCCACAGAAATGTGGTGATCCAGGAACTTTCTCCATTCCTTGCACAATTGGAGAGTCATCTTTTGCTAGTGCCTTGCTGGATTTGGGAGCTTCTATGAATGTTATGCCTTCAGCCGTATATAAGTTGTTGCATTTGGGAGACTTGAAACCAACCAACGTGATTATCCAATTAGCAAACCGAACCACAGCTCAGCCCTTGGGAGTGCTCGAAGACGTGTTGGTAAAAGTTAACCAATTGATTTTTCTGGCTGATTTTTACATTCTTGATATGCAGGATGAGAACTCGACCTTAATTTTGGGTAGACCATTCTTGATGACTATGAAGACAAAGATTGATGTCTATACTGGCACACTGTCCATGGAGTTTGGAGATGACACAGTTCATTTCAATATCTTTGATGCCATGAGACATCCGGCTGAGAGCCATTCGATGCTTTCTGAGTGTTCTAATTTTTCTGTTTTTCTTATTAATGTAGTAGATAGAAATTCTGATTTAGATTTTGATACAGTTCATGTAATTGATTCTGATTTTGATTTTGCTTTTGATTCTAATATTGATATTGCTGTAGATTCAGATTTTGACTTGTCTCAGTTTTCAGACTTAGATTTAGATGCTTTACCAGGATGCACCTGTGATAGTGGCATTTGTTCCATTTGTGCTGAGATTAATACTGCCATATCTTTTGCTATTTTGCCTTCTGATGAATCCACATTTTACTACATTTTTATACATCATTTATTACTTTTTATAGAAAAGAATAGACTTAGATAGTGTAAATAAGATGAATATTCCAATTAGGCTAAATAATGTAGGTTTCTTAGTTTTTTGTTAATTTACATGGATTTAGATAGTTTATTTTACATATTTTGATCATTTGAATAATATGGCAGGAATCCCCAAGCTTATTTTGTAGAATTATTGGATTTTGAGGAATTCGAGGTGAAAGTAACTACTTTCAAAATTGATAGTGACAACTACAGCAAGCCACTTCCAGCAAAGGGACCAAAGTGATCACTTTCAAAGCTTAAAGTGACAACTACAGCAGCCCAGAATCCACTAAACCTGCGCGTGGTTACTATGAATATTCATAGTGGTCACTCCAGAGCATGCAGAACTGAAGGTGTTGCGGGTAGTTACTATCAAAATTCATAGTGACAACTCCAGAGAGTCCAAAATGTCCTAGTGTTGCGCGTGGTTACTATGAATATTTATAGTAATCACTCCAGAGAGGAAAAATTCAACTGATGCTGCGCGTGTTTACTATGAAAGAATGAAAGTAATTACTTTGGGCGGTGCCAGCTTTAGTATAAATAGATTTTTACCAAATTAGGGTAGGGAGTTCTTACACTTTTTGTACCTTTTCTCTTCTTTACTAAATTTAGGACACTTGGAAAGCCTAGGGTGGCCTTGGGTGACAGCCAAGGGTCCAACCTAGGGTTTGATTTCCATTTTCTCCTTACTTCTCTTTGATTTTTCTATTGATGTTATTAATTTCTCTTTACTTTCATTTTGCAATTGTGAGACTCATCCTCATGAAGGGTTAATTTTCTTGTAATCTCTAGTGAGTTCATATGAATTCTTGAATTCTTGTTTTTGGAATGTTAATGCAAATCTTTTTCTTCCATGAATTTGTTCCTCCCAAACTCCTGAATTGAATTAATGGTTGAATGAGGGGAGCATTGCGTAATGAACCCTAATTCGTTTTAAGGAAATTCTAAATTTGAATTGCTTAATTCTTGTTTAATTCCAAGATTGCGTAATCAAGGAATGAGATATTGGAGTTCATTGGATTGCTTAATTCATATGAAAACATAAGGTTGATTTTCGCTTGTTAAATCAACCTAATTCTGGGAGGAGAGGAAGAGTATTAAATTTTGAGAGGAATAGGGATAGACTTTATATGAATGAACTAGGGGTTACTGCATTTTATCGATTGAACTTTGCAATTTAATTTTCTGCTTAAGTTGATTGAACTTGAAATCACAAAACCCCCCTTTTTTACTTGCTTTCTAAATACATTGCACACTACATGTTTGATATTTGGTCACTTGTCCAATGATTCATGGGAGATGACCTAGGCTTGCATCCTAGACAACATAAATTTTTCTGCATATTTTGATGAAGGTTCACGACAAATCTTTTTGCAAATGAGAAAATATTTCATTCATCACCTTCATTGCAGGTGCAGATCCAGATTCTGTGATATCCATGGCTACTGCAGCCCCACAGTCTCCATTATCAGTTATAGAGCAACAGCCAAGTTCATTGGAGTTGAGCCCTCTGCCAAATCACCTTAAATATGCTTATCTGGATGCAGAGCAGCAGAGGTTTCCAGTAATTATATCCAGCAGCCTTCTGGAGGATCAGGAAAAGAAGTTGCTACAAGTCCTGAAGGTGCACAAGAAAGCCATCGGTTGGAGCTTGAGTGACATTCCTGGGATCAGTCCAACTGTATGCATGCACATGAGTCACTTGGAGGATGAGTCTAGGCCAGTGAGGCAGCCCCAAAGAAGACTCAATCCTACCATTCTGGATGTAGTGAAGAAGGAGGTGACCAAGCTACTGATGGCTAGGATCATCTACCCCAATTCTGACAGTACATGGGTGTTACCTGTCCAAGTGGTACCTAAGAAGTCTGGGATTACTGTGGTACAGAACCAGGAGAATGAGATGGTTACCACCAGAGTCACCAACAAATGGAGAGTGTGTATTGACTACAGGCAACTCAACCAGGCTACAAGAAAGGACCACTTCCCTCTCCCATTCATTGATCAGGTCATTGAGAGGTTAGCAGGTAAATCCCATTATTGTTTTCTGGATGGTTTCTCTGGCTACATTCAGATTCATATTGCTCCTGAGGACCAGCACAAGACCACTTTCACCTGTCCTTTTAGCACTTTTGCCTATAAAAGGATGCCATTCGGCCTATGCAATGCACCTGCCACTTTTCAGGGGTGTATGTTAAGTGTTTTTTCTGACTTAATTGATAATTGCATGGAGGTGTTTATGGATGATTTTACTGTTTACGGTTCTTCATTTGATTCATGTCTGCATAGCTTAACCAGGGTGTTAGGGAGATGTGTTGAAACTAACCTCGTGCTGAATTATGAGAAATGCCATTTTATGGTAAAAGAAGGTGTAGTTTTAGGACATCTTATTTCTGAGAGAGGAATACAGGTTGAGAAGACAAAAATTGATGTTATTTCCTCTCTATCTTACCCCGCCTCTGTGCAGGAGGTGCGTTCTTTCTTTGGACATGGAGGTTTTTACAGGCGATTTATCAGAGATTTCAGTACCATTGCACTGCCGCTGTCCTGTCTTCTACAGAAAGACGTACCATTCTTATTCTCTGATTCGTGTAAGGAGGCTTTTGAGGAGTTGAAGAGGAGACTCACCACAGCACCTATCATGCAGCCACCAGATTGGGAGCTCCCCTTTGAGTTGATGTGTGACGCCTCTGACTATGCACTTGGAGCTATTCTATCTCAGAGAGTCGGTAAATTTTCTCATGTTATTGCCTATGCCTCTAGAACTCTCGATGCAGCCCAGATAAATTATACCACCACTGAGAAAGAACTCCTGGCTATAGTGTTTGCATTAGATAAATTTCGTTCTTATTTGCTTGGTTCCAAGATAACTGTCTTTACAGATCATGCTGCACTAAAATTCCTACTGCAGAAGCCGAACGCGAAACCTAGATTGATTAGATGGATGCTTCTTCTACAGGAGTTTGATATTGAGATAAAAGACAAGAGTGGTGTTCTGAATCAGGTTGCTGATCATTTGAGTCGTATTGAAGGGACTATAGACCCTTTACATATTCATGATAGTTTTCCTGATGATTATTTATTTGCTCTGAACTCTATAGACTCTATTCCCTGGTTTGCTGATATTGTGAATTATTTGGTTACTTCTGTTGTACCTCCTGATGCATCTAGATCCCAGATTGATAAATTGAAAAGTAATGCTAAATATTATGTCTGGGATGATCCATATCTGTGGAAATTTTGTAATGATCAGGTCATCCGTCGATGTGTTCTTGACCACGAATTTCAGGACATTCTGTATTTTTGTCATGGCACATCTGTAAAAGGCCATTTTGGACCGCAGAGGACAGCCGGGAGAGTTTTGGACAACGGATTCTATTGGCCTACCATTTTCTGATATGCAACCAGATTTTCTGAGAGCTGTGAGATATGTCAGAAGGTGGGAGGGACTATTACTAGGAGACATGAGATGCCTCAGCAGCCCATTATTTTCTGTGAGATCTTTGATGTTTAGGGCATCGATTTTATGGGTCTTTTTCCTGTTTCTGTTGGATACTCTTACATATTACTTGCTGTTGACTATGTGTCTAGATGGGTGGAGGCAAAGGCCACTAGAACTAATGATTCTAAAGTTGTTTCAGATTTTCTCCGTACTCATATTTTTTGCAGGTTCGGTGTGCCTAAGGCTGTCATCAGTGACCAGGGAAGTCATTTCTGTAACAGGACCATTACAGCCTTGTTCCAGAAGTTTGGGGTTACACACAGAGTTACTACACCATATCATGCCCAAACTAATGGGCAAGCTGAGGTATTCAATAGGGAAGTCAAGCACCTGTTGCAGAAATTAGTGCACCCGAATAGGAAAGATTGGAGTAAGTTTCTGGATGATGCTCTCTGGGCTCAGAAGACAACTTATCGGACACCATTAGGCATGTCTCCATTTTGAGTGGTGTTTGGTAAAGCATGCCACCTTCCGGTGGAAATTGAGCATCGATCATATTGGGCTGTGAAGAGTTGTAACATAGCACTTGAGCAGGCCGGAATTAAAAGGAAGCTCCAGCTTCAGGAGCTTGATGAAATACGCCTGCAAGCCTATGAGAATTCTAGATTGTATAAAGAGAAAGTTAGGAGATTTCATGATACACATATTTTGAGGAAAGAGTTCTCTTTAGGCCAGAAAGTGTTATTGTTTAACTCTCGATTGAAATTGATTGCAGGTAAGCTTCGATCTAGATGGGACGGACCTTTTGTGATTACTCATGTTTTTCCCCATGGTGCAGTTGAGATTCAGGATGAAGCTACCAGCAGGATTTTTAAAGTCAATGGTCATCAGTTGAAATTATTCCAGGAGAGTAGACCAGTGGAGTCGGCTCAGAACATAGTTGATCTATCCTTAGTGGAGCCTACTTTGATGGACGATGTGTCTTCTTAGGCACTTGGAGTTTGGAGCATTGTGTTCTTTGATCTTTGTTTCTTTTCCTTATAGTTTCCTTTACTTTCTCATATATAGTTTTCATTCTATTCTTGGATTGTTTGCATGTTTTGCATTTTATATTTCCTTTTCCCACATTGTGGACAATGTGTGTTTTAAGTGTGGGGGGAGGGAGTAGTCCTTAGCATATTTTTCATTGGATTCCCTTACTTTCAGAGACTTCATTCTTGTGAGCATCTTTTCATTTGCCATTCTTAGTTGGAAGTTTCTTAACTTCATAGTTGTGTTTCTTGCATTTTAAGTTTAGCTAGTTTTTCATGATGATTAGGTTGTGGATCATTAATTGGTAGAATGCATGCCTTAGTGAGATTTGAGCTTATCTTCTTTCTTGTGTGATTCACTCATGTTTGTAGGTATTTTAGAACTTGAATTGACTCTTTTTGATGTCATCTATTCACATGCACTTTTGATATGATTTAGGCCTTCCTTTGATTTTACCCACTTGGCCAAATTGACTTACCTTGCATGTATTCCATTGGTTATCCCCTTTGAGCCTTATTGACCTTTTTCTTGATTATTTTCCAGCTCATTACAAGCCATGTAACTTGAAAAACCATGATGTGCCCAATCTTTAGGAATAGATAAGCTTTGGAATTGTTTTGAGAATTGGTTAAAAACAAGTGTGGGGGTGTTTTGTACATATTGCTTTGAGCATATTTTGATGCATTGTAGGTTGACTAGAAAAGTGGATTGTATAAAAACAGTGCAGTACTTACAAAGTAAAAAAAAAAAAAAAAAAATGAAAAAGAGAGAGTAAAAAGTACTATTCTATTTCTAGCTTTTGTACATGTGTTCTTGATTGTTGTGATGTGTTGTTGTTTTGCTTTTACTTGTTTTTAATCCATTCCCCATTGCTCTTCATTTCTCTTTAGTTTTTAGCTTTGTTCACCTTCTTTTATCTTACCTTTACCTTAGCCACATTACAAGCTTAATTAAAGTCCTATTGATCTTTGGTGCATGTGTTTTAAATGGTAGAAATTAGAGGCTCTTCAAGCTTATGGAATTAATTACTTTCATGATGTGCTTTGAGTGAAATTTCTTGCCTAGACACTTGAGAGATTAAGTGATACACATCTATGTGAGAATTCTATAAATTGTGATCCATAATTTGATTTGATTGAAACTCTTCTTTACTTTTAATGTTGGAGCATATTCTTGATTGTTTTGATTCTTCCATACTTTGATTGCTGGCTGATTTTTGTTGCTCACATTACTTACACTTTGGGAACCATTGAAAAATTTTGCTTTGTGTTCATTTCATTTCATTTCTTTTCTTTTCTTTTGCTTGGGATTGCAAAAGCTTAAGTGTGGGGGTATTTGATAGCTTATATTTTATTCCCACATTTTTAGTCTTATAGCATCCTTTGCATGTCTTTTCATTCCCTTATTTCTTCCATTTAATATGTTTTTGCATTTATCTTGATAATTAGGAATTTTCGTAAATACTATACTTTTGTTCATATTTTCTATTCTGACCTGTGGTTACTAATTTGACCATCACTTTTTCTATAGATATCTTTTTTGGCTGATTCTTTTTGCATTGGATTCCTTACTTGTGGAGCTTTAATTTGGATATTTGGATCGTGCTGTTTGGAGTCCGGAGTTATTTTCTACTAATTTTAGAAGTTTAGACTTTTAGTTGACTATTGTATAGTTTTTATTTTGCTTTTATTTTGCAGTTCTTTTGTATTTAATTTCGGCCCAACTTTGGCCCACTCAGTTTTTGCTCTTTTAGGATTAGTATTTATAGAGGTCAGGGGCTGATTGGGAAGGACTTTTCATTCATTTTTTCATTTTTCAGTTTGCAATACCTTTCTCGCTTCCAATAGAACCTCTCATTTTTTTTACCATTCTTCTTCTTTTCTTGCATTTTTCCATTCTGAATTCGTATGCCTTTGCAATTACAATTGAAAGACGTTTAAGATTCTACAAAGTCAAGATGATTTCTGCTATGTTCCCCCTTCAAATTCATTGCCAAAGTCCAGATCGCATTTGTTCAAGACGTTTTTTATGCTCCAATTTTGTTTTCTGATCTCACATTTTTACGATTGTATAGAAGCATTGTTCGATTGAATTGTGTATTGTTCTTAATCGTATAACAATCAATTGATTAATTGTTTGTTGTGCAAAATAGATTTAAACAAATTCAGTTTTCATTCAATCTTAGTTTTGGATTTTCGCGCTCTGGATTTCGATTTTAACTTTCGGTTCCAATTTTGTGCAATTTCGTTTGTTGCATTTCAATTCTGCGCAATTTCGTTTGCTGCATTTCAATTCTGCGCAATTTCGTTTGCTGCATTTCAATTCTCTGCGATTTCATTCTCTGTAATTTCATTTTCTGCATTTTGATTTTACAATTCAGTTTCTGCATTTAAACCCCCAAACATACAACCTTTTATGCATAATTGAGGTTAGAGCAATGTGCATTTGCATCCTTGTGAGATATGACCTAGGTTGCTCCCTAAAGTGCATGTTTTTGTGAGGAATTTAGTAGTTTTTGATATCACTGCGACATGGTTATCACTCATCAAGCTCCTGAAGTTAAAGCTTCCTTTCTTTTCTGACCTACTCAAGTGTCATGTTACTCCAGTCTTTCCTGTAAGGATGAACCAACTTTTGCAATAGATGTTTGACTTCTCTGTTAAATACCTCAGTCTGCCCATTAATTTGGGGATGATATGGTATAGCAATTTTGTGTGTCACACCATACTTTTGGAACAATGCTGCTATGGTCCTATTACAAGAGTGACTTTCCTGATCACTTATGACAACCTTAGGCATACCAAACCTACAAAATATGTTAGTTCAGAGAAAATCTAAAACAACCCTAGAATCGTTAGTCCTGGGGCCTTTGCCTTCACCCATCTAGAAACATAATCAACAGCAAGTAAAATGTAAGAATATCTAGAAGAAATAGGAAAAAGGCCCATGAAATCCATACCCCCAAACATAAAAAATCTCATAGAAGATGATAGGTTACTGACGCATCTCATTCCTCTAGGTGATGGTCCCTTATGCTTTCTGATATATCTCACAGCTCTCAGAAAACTTGGCTGCGTCCCTAAAAATGGTGGGCTAATAAAATCTATTGTCCAATACCCTCTTAACTATTCTCTGTGGTCCAAGATGGCCTCCTACAAATGTGTTCTGATAGAAATGCTGAATATCTTGAAACTCATGGTCAGGAACACACCTACGGATAACCTGGTCACTACAAAATTTCCACAGATAGGGATCATCCTAGACATAATATTTAGCATTACTTTTAAGCTTATCAACCTGAGATTTAGATGCATGAGAAGGTACTACAAAAGTAACCAAATAGTTAACAATATCTGCTGTAGCGTCCTAAATTACTAAACCTCTGATACCAACTTTTATAACATAGTAGTTTAGAAAACACCAAAATCTGGTAAAATTTTTTTTTTCCTTTAGACAAGTACAAGTATAAGTTCCTTTCTTTGAAGGGAATTTAACATGTATATGAATTCAGAATTCCATAGATAATTATCATTCAACATTTCAATCTCAATAGCACACTAGAGTAAGAATAGACACAACTCATGATATGATAATACCTCGATATATTAAGCATTAGTTTAGTGGAATAGTCAAGTACTTAATCATAATTATAGACGATTAGCATTATCCAAATACAAAACATAACATAATAAAACCAGACTTCCTAAGAGCAGCTGCCCTAATACATAAATAAATAAAACAGAACATCAATCATAAGGAGAGTAATCCTCAATGGAATAGGACTCCTCAAAAGAAGTAGGGGAAGCAGAACTATTAACAGTAGCTGTGCCAGGATCTCCACCATTCTCTTCCATCAATCCAGTAGTGTGAGGAGGTGAACGAGTAACAGTAGGTGGAAACAAGGTAGATGGGTAAGTAGGATGCATATAGGATGGCATAGTAGTGTACCTAATAAAGGATTCCACCACATGGAAAATCCCTCTCCATTGGCACAGGTGGAGAAGCAGGGTGCATAAAAGAAAAAGGCAAGGATGTAGAGGCTAGTCTATGATGAATCCATATTTTATTGGATTTTTACTTGTCATTTTGATGTTTCTTAATAGAAAAAGTAAACTTAGGAAGTGTAAATAACATAAAAACATCATTTTGGTCAAATATCATAGGTTTCTTAATTTTTGGTTAATTTACATTGATTTACATAGATATAGTTTGCAATTTTGATCATTTGAATAATTGTGCAGGAATTTCTATAATTTTTTCCACAGATTCATAACATTTGAGAAAGTTTGAGATGAAAGTAACCACTTTGAATCCCATAGTGAACACTACACCAAGCTAAGTCTAGAAGGGCAGACTAAAGTGATCACTATGAACCCATAGTGACAACTACAGAGACCCATTTTGAAGAAGTGTTGCGCGTGCTTACTTTGGGACCATAGTAGAAACTCTGGAGCAGCCAAAGTTATCACTCTAATACCAAAGTGACAACTCCAGAGAGGCCAAAAACACAAGACTTGTGCGTAAACACTATGAAGCGAGAGTAACCACTATGGAGCGCTGCGTGTTATCACTATGAAGCCAAAGTGATAACTCCAGAAAGGCCCAAATCACAGGACTTGCGTGTAAACACTATGGAGCGAGAGTAACTACTATGGAGTGCTGCGCGTCATCACTATGAAACCATAGTAGTTACTTTGGGTAAAAATTTATGCACTATAAATAGGATTTGAGAAATTAGAGTACGAAGCTTTTACATAATTTTAGATTCTTTTGCCACTTTGGGAGCATTTTACAGAGCTTAGGATCCTTGGGTGATAGCCATGGCCAATCTTAGGGTTTGATTTACGATTTTTCTTCATTTTCCTTTAATTCTTGCATTGATGATGTTGAATTTTCCTTGTTTTCATCTTGAATTTGTAAGACCCATCCTTATGAAGGGCTAAACTTTCTTGTAATCC